ATGAAATTTCACAAAGCCCAAAGGAGATCTGACATCTTACCTAGGACCAAGTTGTGTAGGACAACTGAATTCCAACCCTTTAGTGGTTTCCTGCTTGACTCAGAAGAGTCTGGACTCACTTTGGTCTAAATATCTTCATGGTCAGGGCTCTGTTAATTGTCTGACATCATCTGTCACCACTCTTATCTAAGTCACGCTGCACAAACATACCAAACCCATTTGCACCAAAGGGCCTTTGCACATGCTATTCATCTGCCTGAACACCCTCCCTCGAGTGCTTCAGGGGCTCTGCTCAAAGGCTGTGCCCTGAGAAAGACCTCCCCATTACACTGTCTAAGCCAGATCCCTTCCCACCCCTTGTCAGATTCTATCACATAAACCAGCTTCAGCTTGAAAAATGTCATCTCATCCGGTAAGCTCCCTTGCCTCAGCCTAGCACTCCCGGCTCTTCCCATCCGGCCTAGTGCACTCTGCTGGATATCTCCCTTCCTGTCCTCCTCAGATTGATGATTCGCTCTGGCCAGACTGCCCTCCACCTTGCCCTTGAACATTCCAGGTGTACCCCCCTCCACGCCCTCACTGCTGCCATTCCCTTCACCCCTCACACTGCCCTGTGCACATGGAAGAAGAATCATCAGGTAATTTGTTCAGTCAGTGAAAACTGTGAGCACCAAGTAGGCACCACAGCAAAGTGCCTCCTCCCCGACTCTGAGGACCTTAGGAGGTGCTCCATAGCAGAGCACAGATGGATATAAGGGAGTCGGGGGGTGGGGTCCTACGCAAGGAATACGCTGTGGAATGTGCCTTTAAAAAGGCCAATGAAAAAAGAGGGCCAGGGGTACAGCTCAGTGTGAAGGTCTTGGCTTTAATCCCCTGTGGGGTGAGGGGTAAGCAGCCTGAAGTCTGGGGAAGAGAAAGTGTCCATGATGAATATAGTATAAACTTTTATTTATTTAGGCCATCTTTAATATCAGTCTTTCAATAATGCTCTATAAGTTTCTCTAAGTCCTTAATGTTTATTCCCTGGTATCTGATTTTCTAGTGTCTTGCTGGAAATATTTAATTACACTTTTCTAAACGTTCCTGGCATGTACAAAAGCAATTCATTTTTATATTTTGAGTTTCGTACTTAGATGCCTTACAAATAGTCTTATTTTTCTAATAATTGAACTACATGTTCCTTTGGCGCCAATCAGATCCGTAAATAAGGGCAGTTTCCTTTCTTCCTTTTCCATCTTATATCTTCAACTTAGTTTCCACTTTTACTGTGCAGGTCATGACCTTTTTATCTTATTCCTGATTGCAAAAGGATGCTTCTAACATTGCCTCTTTATAAATGATGTTTATAGCATTTACCAAAGAGACAAAGTCAACAGCACCAGTAATGGGACCGGTGACATCACATGCGTCATGAAGTAATGGACTGAGACGGACACAGCATCACATGTGTAAAAGTCTTGCCAAAAATACACAAATGGGACTAATGAAGAGATAACATGATAAATCCAAATTTAGAAACATTCTAAGAACGTTTATATTTACTAAAATGTAATGTGTGGTTGTCAACTGGATTCTAGATCAAGAAAACGAAATTTTCTATAAAGAACATTGAAGGTATAACAGACATAATCTGAATTTGGATTGCATAACTCAACCTATTATGTCGAATTTCCAAATGTGGTTATATTATGGTAATATAAGAAAATATTCCTGTTCTTAGGACATACAGACTGAGGTGCAGCATTCAGGGGTGCAGGGTTATATCTGTGACTTCTCTCCATTTACATACACCCACAGTGCAGATATGGTAAAATGTTATTAACTGGTAAACCAGGTAAAGGATAACCATGAATTTCTTCAAATATTTGCAAATTTTCTATAGGGTTGAAATTATTTCAAAATAAAAAAGCTTGTAAACTACTGTTGGTAAGAGGTTATAAACTTTCCCTTCTATCCCTGGCGCCATCCTTTTGACCTTGACTGTCCCAGCAAGAGGTCCCTGGCAAGTGGTAGAGTCCTTAAGGGTGGTGCCTAGTGGGAGGTCTTTAGCTTACTGGGTTGGTGGGAAGGCCAAGGCTGTTGTTGGATCCAAGTTCCTTCCCTTCTCTCTCTTTTGCTTCCTAGTGACGCCACAGGCCCCAAAACTACAGGGCCAATCCATCAGAGACTGAAACCTTCAAAGCTGTGAGCCAAAATAAATCTTTCCTCTTTAAGGTTAATTTCCTCAGTGTTTTTTGTGATGACAGAAAGCTAACACAACTAGTCAGTCTGCTGTGATTTTTCTCATGTGTGGTTACTGCACTTTATCAAACGCCTTTTCTGCATGCATGGAGATGACGGTATGATTTTTCTTTTGTTATTTGTTAATAAGGTAGCTTACCATTGTTAACTAGTATTAAGTTGCCTTTAGTTTCTGGAACAAATCTAAATTGATCCCGAAGTGTCATGGTTAGAGTCTCTGCAGTCTATCTGTACTTCTTCCCTAGTGGTCTGTCTTTGGTTTTGGTATCAAGGTTACACAGGTGTCAGAGAATAAGGAAGGAAATTCTCTCTCTGTTTTTAGTTTTGGCAGAGTGCGTGAAAGATTAGATAATCCCTTTCTTGGAATTTTGTAACACTTGCCTATAAATTCATCTAGACCTGGAGTTTCTCCTATGTGTATGTTTATGTAAAACACAACAAATATGCAAAAAAGTGCATAGAATGTAAACATTCCACCTAATGAGTTGTTGGAAAAGAAATTACCAACAGGTCATTTAAACCATCTGGGTATAAATGGGCAGCTATGCACCTTTCCATCTTCTGTTCTAGTGCCCCTGAGCATATATTGTTTGGTATATGCTTAGGAGTGGAACTTCCGGATCATAGGACTATGTATCTTCTTTTTTCCCCAAAAAACAGACACTCTAGTTTTCCAAACTAGAAGTGTCTGATATATACTTCACACAGTTCCTTATCTTTGCAATCACTTGCTGTTATCAGACATGTGTATTTTTGACAATATAATGTGCAGTGAAATTTTTACTGCTCAATTTAAAAAAGTTACAGGACTATTTCTTTCTCTGTTGCTCCCTGGTGATAAAAATTTCTACTTTAATCCATATCGACAAATTACATATTTTGGGAGACTTTCTCACATTGTCAGTGTTTCCAAATTTATTGGTATAAAGCTGCTCATTAAAATATCTTATTACATTTTTTTCTTGTGGAGCTGGGGGTTGAACTCAGGGCCTATGTACATGCTAGGCAAGTCCTCTACCAGTGCGCTATATTTCCAGCCCATCTTACTAGATTTTAAAGCTTTGTGGTTACATTGCTTTTTTTGTTCCTGATGTTATTTGTATCTTTTTTCCTTTATTATTTAATCAATCTCTCCAGGGAATTCTTTATCAGTTTTTTTTTTTGTTTGTTTTATTTTTTGTCTTGAGACAGGATCTCACTATGCAGTTCAGGCTGGCCTTGAGCTCACTTTGTAGCCCAGACTGGTCTCAAATCCGCAATAATCCTTCTGCCTCAGCCTCCCGAGTGCTGGGATTATAGATAGGCGTGTGCCACCTCGCCTGTTTTTTTTTTTTTTTTTTTTTGGAGACAGTGTCACTATGTAATCTAGGTCTTGAACCTGCTATGTGACCCAGGCTGGCCTCCAACTGTCATTTCTTCCTGCATCAGCTCCCAGAGCACTAGGATTACACACATGGGCCACCATGCCTGGAAATTCTTTTTATTATTTCCTTCCTCAAGCTTTCTTTGGGTTTACTCTGTTTTTTTTTCTTTTTCCTTTTCTGTTTTAACTTCTTAGATTGAATGCTTACTTATTAATTTTCAGCCTTTTTCCTTCTGTACTTCATTTTTTATTTTTCCTCTCTGCTTTGTATTAGTGCTGTACTTTTTCCTTGATATACCACATTCTCTGCATTCCTTAAGTTTTATGACGTAATTCAGAGTACTTTTAAATTTCTGTTTGATTATTTCTTTGGTTTGATTATTTCTTTCTGTTTGATTATTTCTATTTTAGAAATTGTTTAAAAATTTCCACGTGAGCAGGAACTTAACATTTATGTTATGTTATTGATTTCTAACTCAGCTGCATTGCGATCTGAAAGCCTGGTCTACACATAAACTGGGTGTGCTAGCGCATGACTGTAATTTCAGCACTTCGTGAAGTCGAGGCAGGTGGGCTTCAAGTTCCAGCCCAATGTTGGCAACTTTACCCCCAAATAAAAAGAGGCTGGAGTTACAACTCAGTACAAAACCTCTGAATTTAATACCCAGCACAGGAAAAAAAAAAAAAGCCAGCCAGTCTGTTCCATCCAGCTCCAACACGTATTCACGACTGTAACCACTGAGATCCTCTGAGGGTCTAGGTCAGGCAGTGGTGGTCTCTATGCACCCCTAGTGCCCTGATCTTAGTCTGTGAGCTGTTGTTCTCTGTCGAGGCTTCGAAGCTCCTCTGGCTCTACCAGCTGAGGAGCCCTTTGTCCCTTCAGGTGCCCAGCCTTAGGGCAGAGACTCACAGTGGTTTCCTGATAGTCACTCTTAAGGGTCAGAAAACTGTCCATCTGCAATGGTGCATGCTCTGTCTGCCTAGGACAGGTTTGTGCTCCCTTTCTCATACTGCTCACCTCTTCTAAGACTAGGACTGTGTGTTTTCCTTTTTGTGAGCAGGGATAGGTGACTGGAGATTTTCCCAACTCCACCTGAGTCCAGGAAGACATTAAAAATTGTATTTTATTCAGGAGTGAATTAATTTCCAGAATTGTTTTATAGAGAGGGGCAGAGGCTCTAGGTCAGCCAACCCAGCTAGCTATTGGGAGCCTAAAACCCCAGAGACGCACGCTTTCCTAAGAAGGAAACCAAGGCTCAGAGAGATAAAACGTGACTTACCTGAGGCCACACGGCTAGCACAAGGCAGAGCCAGGACTTAAATCACATCTGAGCCTTGAAACCCAGGTTCGGTCTACTTTCCCTCCGTCTGGCCTGAGGACACCAGGCACCCTTACCTGGTGCAGGGGGATGACGAGGAAGGCGCCCCCACCTGCACACTCAGTGACCACTGCGATGAAGTGGGGGTTCACTGCACAGAAGTGATTGTCGTGAACGCTGCGGGTGATGGGCACGGAGTCGTAGCAGTTCTCCTTGCTGGCCGGTTTGCCAAAGACGTGGCGGAACTTGGAGCTCCGGTACTGGGGGTGCCATGACATCTGTTGGAGACAGACAAGACAAAAGGCTTGAGGCTCGCTGCCCTGATTGTGGGACACATGGAGGTTTCACCTGGAGAATCTCTAAGTGGGTACAACGGGGCGGTGGTCAGCTGTATGTGGACAGTGGTATGCTATGAAGGGCAACCGAGGGCATAGGTTACAGTCATGGTTATCCCTAGGGGTCCAGGGAGGTAAGGGGGCAGTGCATAATTACCACCCACTTGTGTGCTGATGTGTTAGGGCTTTTCATCTCTTCAAGGAGAAACACAAAAAAGCAGAGAAACTACAGAGAACTCACCGGCAACGCCATTCCCCTACCCCCACCAGGCTCAACTAAGTGGGTAGCTGTGCTCTCTGGAGCCCGAGGGCCTGGCCTCCAGATCCAGTTCTGGATTTCAGAGCATTTCAGGCTTTGCGTTCTCCGGGTTAGGGATGCTCAACCGGTGCTGTCATCCAAAATCTTGGGCTTCCTCTGTTCCTCATCCAGCTGGTATTTGTTGACTATTTACTGAGCATGAAGCTGTCCAGACCCTGTTTCGGGCACTGGAGGGCTTGGTGAGCATGAGCCTGGGCCCCACCCATACAGGAGGGAAGAGTCTTTGTGGGAGGCGTGATTCTGGGGACCTGAACCTGCCAGCAGGAAGGCCTGCTGCCGGATGTGACACAAGGGCTTGACATGAAGGATGAGCAGGCCACATAGGCATGACAAGGGAGAGCTGGGACAGCTATCCTAGGCAGACAGAAGCGTCTGAGCAAAGGCTCTGAGACTGCAACAGGCCGAGAATGTTTGGGGAACCACTTGTGGTTTAGCAGGGAGACATTAAAAAAAAGAAAACATAGGGCTGGGGGTTTAGCTCAGCAGCACAGTGCCTGCCTGGCAAGTGCAAGATAGTGAGTTCAATCCTCAGTACCAAAACAAAAAAAAAACAAAACAAAAAAACAAACAGTAAATCCTCGATTTACAAACGTTTCACTCCGGAAGATTGTTTGTAAGGTGGATTTGTTTGTAAATCCGACAAAGTAAGTCTTAGACACCCTTGACACAAATATACACTGTAAAGCATTACCAAAAAAAAACCTCAAATGCAAGGTTTGTTCCTATCTGTGAAAGTTTGCAACCTGCATGTTCATAAATCGGGGACTTCCTGTATGCATACTGAGCACACACACAAGCCTGTCCACAGGATGACAGGCGCGGGGGCAGGCCAGCTTCGTGGTAACAGGGCCACACTGTGACTGCCTTGTGAGAGGTCCAGGCCTAGGCATGACCAAACAGGATCTGGGACCTTGTCTCAGCCAGTCTGATGGAGCCTCATCATGCTTCCCCCATCTCAATCGCTCTTTTTGCACCATTCTTCTCTCCCTATATGTCAGATCCAGCCTGCGCATTCAAGGCTTTCAGGCAGGGTCTTGTTAAATATTTTAAGTTTTAATGTTGCTTGCTTAACCCCTAAGCAGTACCATCCAGTCTCCTTGGCACCCACCCTGGCATTTCCAGTCCTTGGCCTTCCTTACTGCTTGGGTTGTTCTTCCTGTTCAACACCGGCTCCAATTTTTTTTTTTTTTCTTGGTCTTTTTGAGACAGGGTCTCACCATGCAGTTCAGGATGTCTTTGAGCTCACTTTGTAACCTAGCCTAGGCTGGTCTCAAACCCATAAGGATCCTCCCGCCTCAACCTTCTGAGTACTACGATTACAGGCACACGCCACTATGCCTGGCTTTCCCTGCTACAATTTCCACATCCAAATCCACTTCTTTCCCTATTCCCAAGCTACCTCCTCTAGCGATCTCCAAGTTTCCTTGATCTCCAAGTTTCAGGGATCTTACCCTCCGCTGCCTCTCCCCACTGTACCTTAACCCCTGGCACTGTGTGTCCGGGTTCAGAGTTTCATATCAGAACTCATCTTCTGCGCAGGAAGGTTCCTCAGAGAGCCCTGGGGTTCTGGCTCTGGAGTGTCCAGTGTGGCAGCTGCCCAGCTTTAGAGCACTTACACAGGACAAGGACACTGTCCACCCCACCGGGGTGGCTGGCCCAGGAGGTTCTGCTCTATGCTTGGTCCTAGGCACACACAGGATTAGACTGTTTGACCTTAATCAGGGGTATTAGCTCTTCCATTGCTGGATCAAATATCTGAGACCCACAATTTAAAGAAGGAAATGACTTATTCGAATTCTTTTTTTTTTTTTTTGTCTTTTTTGTTTTTATCGGTACCGGGGACCGAACTCACGACTGCCTGCTTGCAAGGCAGGTGCTTATGCCGCTGAGCTAAATCCCCAGCCCCGGAAATGACTTATTCGGCTCATAGTTTCCAAGGTTTCAGTTCCTGATTAGCTGGTTCCAAGACAGAAATACCACAGCAGAAGGGTGTGGTGGCACAGAGATGCCCTGTTCACAGTGGCTGGGAAGAGAACAGTGCCAGAAAGGACAGGGGCCAAGGGGCAGATATAGTTCCCAAGGTCACACCTCCATGACCCACCCAGCCACACTGAGAAGCACACTTTACCACCTGCTAGGTGTTCTTAATCTAATCAAGTTGACATATCTTGATCAGTGTCGTATCTGGGGCCTGACCCCTGGCTACAACTTTTACAAAGCACCAGGCGGTCCGGTGGCCTTATAGGGGCTGTTCTACCATGCAAAGCTCAGAATTTCACGTTTCCTACTGGGGCTTCTGCCCAAACCTTGGCTGCATTCACCAGCGCTACAGGAAGGAGCAGAGAGAATGCAGTGATGGACACTGAACCTCATTTGTAGAGCTTAAGAGAGCACAAAACAAAAAGGAAGAGAAAAGCCACAGCAAAGAAACTAGAAACAGAGGGAAAAGGAAGGCAAAAACCAATCACCTGGATTGTAGGGGAACTTATGCTACTGAGTGCAGGCTGCCTTGTCCTCCATATGGAGAAGGAACAGTAGACCTCAGCTTTGGGTCCGAGTTTCCTAGCAGCCAATTTGACAACGGAAACAATCAGAATCAGTGTCTTAGCTCAAAGCTACCACTTGCTGAGGACCAGCATTGCTTTTTCTGTGCCAGGTCATGAGAAAATGGGTATTGGAATCCTCTTGGAAAGGAATGCCAAGGATAATGACCCTCTTAGGCTTTTGGCAAATAGGCAGTAGGGAAGAAGCTGCCTTGAGCCTGAGCTGGGTGGGTATAGGCTCTGCTACAGCTCCCATCAGTGTACACAGCTGCTGGGTGGGGAGGTGCACCTGTGTGTGGCAGATGGTGATGCCCATTAGCCTTCTGTGTCCTCCATCCCGGCAGTTTAGTGGCCACAGCATTCATGCTATCAGTGGGTTATGGGGGAAAGCGATGTGGTCACTTGCAGATCACAGCATGTAAGATCTGCCTGTGAGCCTTTCTGAAGAGGCAGATTCTCAGTAGGAGGCTCCCAAGGTGTGTGTGGAGCAGAGCAGCTCCCCCACGGACAGACAGCAAGACAGGGACATCAACTTGCAGAGGGAGCCGCTAGCATAGGCTTAGTCTACCCACCCTAATACACCGCCCTATCGGGTCTGGCTGTGGGAGAGGGCAAGCAGTTGCGTGCACTTGGTGTGGCCAGATTCCCGCAGGCAGGTGGGCTCAGGGTAATGGGATCAGGCTTCACTTCCTGGTGGACTCACTGCTGAGCAGAAGCAAGGTCAGCATGGCTGTGAGACCATGGTCACCTAGGCTAAAACAGGGCAGCGATATGTGCAGGGATGGGTGGGGACATGTTAGTGAAATACCAAGGAGATGGCATCAACCAGGCTTGGCAGCTGAGTGCCCAGGGCAGGCTGTGGGGCCAGGGGGCCGGGCACTGGGGCTTTAGTCAACATGACTTTCCACTATGAGCAGCTGTGACCCCTCAGATCCTCCCAGCAGCCCTTCACAGCCTGGGTGTGCACCTAGAGGCATGTGGGGCTTGCTCAACATCTGAGGGCCAGCTTCTGGCCTGGGAGGAGTCAGGAAACCACAGGAGGCCCAAGCAACAGCTCTCCCAGGGCTCAGAAGCTCCCTGGCAATGAAACTCCGAAGTGTTGAGTGCTTACTATGCACCAAGAGCCTTGCATGTACAAATACAATGGGTAGGGGCCATGCTGCTTCCCATGACGATGCAGGGGGTAAGGTGGGCCACAGCTGGGAACCATACAGCTGTGGGCTGAATCCAGCTGAGTGTATCTCTGCAGCCTCCAGCTCCAGGTTCCTACAGACACTAACCCCGATGACAATAAGATATGCACCCTTGTTACACCTTGGATCTCATCTCCACTCCTAAGGGGAAGTGAAATGCCATGTCCTACCTGCCCCTACTCTACAGAAGAGGAAAATAGGTATAGGAAGCGGGGTGGGGCCCCTTTGAAAAGGGGGTGTTGGCCTCCATGGCTGAAGCCGGTGGTAGCTGGCAACCTGAACATAAGTGCTCTCCAGCCCTGTCCCAGCCCTCATCTCCACTGCCAAGGTTCTTCCAGATCTGCTGCCAGGGAAGGAAAATTACAGCAGTGGGGGTGGGGTGGCCTCTGGCAAGGTTGGCCTCTCTGCCTCTCCCTGGTGCCTGTGCAGTGTGTGACCGTGTACACATGGCCAGTGTGCACACATGCTGGCCATTATGTGCAGCCGTGCGCACTGCTCTTGAGGTACTGTTATGGGGTGCATGCCTGGATTGTGGGGTGTGTGTGTGTGTGTGTGTGTGTGTGTGTGTGGCTTTAATGACTCAGCAATTCAGACATCAGTGTTTCACTTTCCCTACAGGCAGGCACTTGCTTGCCAGAGAGGACAGGAGTGGGTAGGGCCCATCAGAGCTTCAGCGGGCCCTCTCCAGAGCTCACCCAGGCCAGCCTCCCGGGCACAAAGGAGAGGGTGGTATCCACCTGCTGCTGCCATCCAGCGCACACAGGTCTGATGCTGTGTGACCCAACCCTGAGGACTGGGAACTCCATGCCCCAAAAGAATTTAATCATCTTTGAGTTTAATATCACACATTGAGTTTCCTTCTTAATGGCCGAGGGCCTGTCCCATGCCTTACAGCTCTCCTGCAGCGAATTTGGAGATTATTGTCCCCATATGACAACTGGGAAGTAACTGAACCAAAATTATATTAATACAAGCAGTGGAGGCCGAGTCCTTTGCCTGGCCCTGTGCTCCTCCTCTAATAGACACATAGTGGGGTGGGGTGGGGGTGGGAGTTGGGTGTGTGTGTGAGAGAGACACAGAGAGAGACAGACACGGAGAGAGAGAGAGATTGATTGCAGGACAAGGGTTAACTACAGGGTGGCTGAAACCAAGCCCAAATTGGGTGTGACACAAACCAGTGTAATGGATTATTCATTAATCACACTGTTTGCAGCCTCAGGGTAAGAATGAAACTACCAGATTTGATGTTTGAGCATGTAGGATGGGTAGGTTTTTGGCTCTAGGGGCTACCATTGTCCTTCTGTGAGTTTGTGGTTCTACTTCTAAAGTTTGAAGTTTTTTTTTTTTCTCTCTCTTACAATTCGACTCTTGGGCCAGAGAGGTGTCCACTGCTGGTGCCTCCAGGGAGAGTCCAGGGTGTTTTAAAGATGAAAAGAGAGTACTCTATTTGAACACAATGCTGTATTTGAACACAATCTACAAAGATGGAATTAACTCAGTGAAAACCTCATTAGTGGCAGGTCCCTCACCTTGACTCCAATCCTTGACCAACTATTCATAATTGATCAGAGTTTAGCCTGATCTCAGACTTGATCGGAACATCCTTTCCAATGCATCTGGAATCCTTAACAGAACACCTGCTCCTGAGGACAGCTGGCCCTGCGAGCCAGGGCCCACCTGGAGTCAAGGCCACCCAGCTGTCAGCCCAGGACTCCCCGCTTCAGCCACTTCTCATGCAGCCTTCCTTTCCACTAACAGAAGGAAGGAACCACAAGTTTCGGATCCTTCTCTCACAAGAGGGTTAAGGTTCCACCCACAACTGGCCTCTATCAGTGTGAGAGGCCCTGACTTAAAACCACAGCTTCTTGCTTTGCACAGGCCAGCAATGATCCACCCAGTGGATCCAGAGAGCTGCCCTGAACCTCAGGGTCCTGCCCTCCAGGGTTAGTTTATTTCCCTCCTTCAAAGCAAGAGATCTGTGTAATCCCGGCTTCTTGGGAGGCTGAGGCAGAAGGATCGAAACTTTGAGGCCAACCCAGGCAACTCAGTGAGATCCTGTCTCAAAATAAAAAAGGCTGGGGATGTAACTCAGTAGCCCCTGAGTTTAATCTTCAGTACTGAAAAAAGGATGGGGGTGAGGGTGGGGGTGTGGCAGCTCCACAGAAGCAGGGTGACCAGTGGTCCTGGTCTGCCTGGCGTTGTGGGAGGGTATTCTAGATGCCACAACTGGGAAAGTCCCAGGCAAATAAGTTGGTCACTTTACCCCATAGAAGTATTCTGTAAGTCCCAAGTGGCCCTCACTTGACACATGGCTCATGAAGGAAAGCTCTAGAACTGATTTACTAATGTGCCCAACATTTTCAATGAGAAGCTAGAACATTGCAAACTACAGAAATCCCAAACAGTTAGTAAAGACAGGTGACTAGGACTCCAGTCCCTGGTCTTGGTCCAGTGTTGGCTCAGGGCTTATCCCCGCCGGCCCTGGGAGGGGAGCCGCAGGGATGGGGGATTCTGTCTCTGCTCTCCACCATTCCCCCCTCTCAGGGTTTGGCCGAGTGCAGAGAGAGATGTGATGGTATTATCTTGAGTTTGCAACTCTGTATACCAGGAGCATGGGTGTAGGGTTTTAGGCTCTGGCACCTTTAAACATCCCAGGGGACTGCACCTACAATAGGTGAAAGGGTAACAGAAACTTAGGACGAATGTGATGCAGTGGTTCTCCAAGCAGAGTCCCCTAACACACCGTCACCAGGGAAGGGGTTACACTGCAAATTCCCAGGCCCTCCAGCTGGGCCTGAATGAGCCTCCTGAGCAGGGCCTGCTCCTGTCTTAACCAGCACTATAGTGACTGGTGCACTGGGTCAAGTCTGGGACAACAGATGGGGTCTGTTTGGCAGCACCAGAATCCAGTGATTCCTCTTAGGGTCACAGGAAATTGTAAGATACTGTGTGTCACCAAGTATGAAGCAATGGAAAAAATACAGCACGGTTTTTGCAGCCTTGCTGCCAAAAAACTGACCAATACTTCAGATGTAACTATGCATACAGGTATGGAGAAACGTGTGTAAACATTCCGACAAACTTTAGAAGCAGGAACTCCTCCTATACATCAACATTCACACAAAATGGAACAAAGAAGCTGGTGTGATGGCTCCTGCCTATAACCCCTGCTACACAGGAGGCTGAGGCAGGAGGGCCACAAGTTTGAGGCCAGCCCAGAAATTTGGTAAGCTTCTATCTCAAAATAAAAAGGGCTGGGGGAAAGGAGGGTGTAGCTTAGCACTATACGAGTTCAAACAGGACACACACACATCACGGAAGCTGGGTGTAATGGTGTACCCCCGGGATTCCAGTGCTCTGGAAGGGCGAAGCAGGAGGACTGCAAATTCAAGCCCAACCTGGTCAATTTAGCAACTTAGCAAGACCTTGTGTCAAAATTAAAAAATAAAAATAACGAAGGGTTGGCGATGGATCAGGGTAAATAAAGTTCCTGGGTTCAAGCCCCAGTATAGGTTAAATAATAAATAATATCAAGTCAGGCACTATGGTGCATGCCTTTAATTCCAGCACTTTGGGCTGGGGATTTAGCTCAGGGGCATAAGCGCCTGCCTGGCAAGTGCATGGTCATGAGTTTGACCCCAGGACCACAAAGAGAAAAAATATTCCAGCACCCTGGGAAGCTGAGGCAGGAGCACCATAAGTTCAGAAATTTAATGAGATCCAGCCTCAGAAAAAAGGGCTGGGAATGTAGTTCAGTGTGAAAGCCCTGTATTCAACCCTGAGTACTCCAGACAGTCAAGTAAGACATACACACCTACCAAACCAGAAAAAAAAAAAGGGAAGGAAATTGTGCAATAGCCAAAACATGGATGAAACTTGAGACCTTGAGAAAATTACACTAAGTAGTATAAACCAGTCACAAAATGACAGAAACTATAAGGTCCCACTTCCATGCGGTCTTCAAAGTCAGGGCCAGACAGTCGCAGCGAGGGTGGAGGAGAAGGAGAAATTATGGTTTAAAGGGTTTACAGTTTCAGTTTCACGAGATAAAAAGTGTTCTGGGGCTGGGTGGCTGCCCAGGGCATGCACGTACTTCATCGTGCACTTCTAATGGTCAAGACAGTAAGCGTGCTATGTGTATTTTACCGCAACAAAACATTTACCATACAATTTCTTTTTCTTCAACAGATAACAAGGCAAAAGATGGTCACAGATCAGAAGAGACAACAGGTAAGAGCAGCCATGGCAGCGAGGGTGGGCCCCTGAGGATCTCAGGTCAGACAAACCAGGTGCAGAAAGGCAGTCATGAAGCATTTGGGGGGAATCCAAAATGACACTGATGCTATTAAAGACTTGTTGGTGCTGGGTGTGGTGCACACACCTGTGATCCCAGCAGTTTGGGAGGTTGGGGCAGGAGGATTATAAATACAAATCCAGTCTGGGTAATTGAGTGACTTAACAACACTCTGTCTGTAAAGAGAGAGGGCTGGGGACATAGCTTAGTGCAAAGGGCCGGGCTTCAATCCCCGGTACTGGAAAACAAAAAAGGGTTGTTTGTAACTGTTTCCGGGTGACAGTAACACAGTATTGTTGAGTCAGGGACTGTCTCCTGGAGATATCACAAGCTAAAGGTTCACGGATGAAATGGTTTAAAGACTGAGGTTCCCTGAAAGTGCGTCGGCCGGGCTGCAGAGAGTGAGGGGGGACAGCAGAGAGGGGTGGGCGGTGGGCTATGCCTTGGGGGCAGGTGAGGGCACGCAAGGATTCGTTAGAGGTCTCTTTAATTAATCTGTGTATGTTTCTAAGTTTCCACAGTAAAAGATGGAAACAAGCATGGCACAGGGGAGCCTGGGGTAACACCGGTTTCATTCTGGTCTGCCTGCTCCATGCCCCACAGAGGCCGCTGGGCCCAGGGACTTCTAAAGTTAAAACAAATTAAAATTCAATGCAATGTAAAATTTGGCTCCTCGTCTCCCCTGCCACGTGTTCCGGAGCCCGGAAACCACATTTGGCTGGGAGTCTGGTGTCCTTACAGACAGGTCCTCACCGCCCTGCCATGAACAAGGCTACTTCCTCACAGGACATCAGGCGTGGCACGGACTCACACAGGAGCTCCCACTCGTATTGCTTCCAGCATGCTGAGACCATTCCCCAAAGGAACCCAGCTCATAGCAGTCTCACAAGTACCACTATCACCCTGTTCCTACAGATGGGAAAACCGAGGCACAGAGGGGTTAGGTCCCTTGCCCATGACCACACAGCAGGTTAGTGGCTGAGCTGGCTGGTGAGGCCGAGCTGACTGGAAGCAGATCCACACTCTGACGGGGTTGCCCTGAGGAATGGGCAAGGCTTGGGAGTGATGTTTGGGGCATATTTAGGGCTCAACAAATCTTAGCCTGTAAGACTGAAGCGGCCTGGCACTGACAGGACACTCAGATTTGAGTTAGTCCATGGCTGGTACAAGCTGAGGCCCCAACATTTGTGGGATCTGGCTGAAAACCTCATGCTTAAAGACTGACCTCAGGGATAGAGAAACTAAGGCAGGCAGTTGAAAAGCTAACGAGGAGGCAGCCTGCCGCTCAAGGAAGCAGCAGATAATGCGTTTCTGAGGCACAGACAGAGGGGACCAGGCGAGCGGTGGAGGGGGAGCAAGCCTTTCGGGAGAGGGTAGCACAGCCCAGGCAGGGAATTGGGAGGGCGGTGGCTGCCAGGGACCTTTCTGCCACCCCAGACCTCACAGTTAATACACACAGAAGTCCTGGGGCCAGCCAATGACATCCTGTTCCCAGGTCCCTCTGCCTAGCCTCCCCTCCTCCAGTCCTCTGTCCTGGCCCAGCAGATGCCGCCCTATAGGACCACAGGAAATGCATATTGAGTCAGGCAGAGCCAAGAGCAGGCCTCCTTCTTCCTGATGTGATTAGGCCCGAGGGGCACCACCTCCCACATCTGCCAATACCCAGAGCCAGGTCCCTAGGCAGGCACCTCCTGGAACAGCCTTCTCTCAGCCAGCTCTGCTTGAGGCTCCACGCGCTCCTGCCCATCCCCAAAGTCCTGTGGGGTTGCCATGGTTTAGATCTAAATGTCCCTCCTAAAGTCTCATGCACTCAGAGGCGGAACTCTTGGACAATCACTGGATCACCAGGGTGCTGAATTCATTCCACTGAAGAGTCCATAGCTAACTATGCTGTTAGGATGTGGCCGACTGGCGGAAGTGGGTCACTGGGAAGTGGCCTGAAAGGGTGCACTCTTGTCCCCACTTCTATTTCTGCTGCTTCTTTTTTCTTTTAACCAGAGATTGAATTCAGGACCTCACACTTGCCAAGAAGGCACTTGTGCCACTGAGCTAGATCCCTGGCTCTCTGCTTCTTTACTGTGATGACATGAGCAGCTTTCCTTGATCGTACCCCTCCACCATGCTACCAGACCCTTCTACTACGCCATTTCCGCCTTGGACCAGGCTGACCATGTGGAAACTGAGCTAAAATAACCCTCTCTTCTTCTATCAAGGCATAAGCCTGGGTCCAGCAGACCCACCCCGCACTTTTCTACTGCCACATTATAGTTGCCAACTGTGCATCTCAGTACCTTTCCCTGAGGGACACAGGAAGCGAGCTATGTGTATACCAGCTGGGTGTGACAAATGGCAAGGAGTGTGCACATGTGCAAAAGTGTAAAAATGGGATTTGGAGCCACTTTTGCATGCAATAAAACTGGGCTTTTGCATATTTACCCAAGCATCACAGAGGATCCAATAGACCACACCACTCTAGGATTTGAAATTTTCTTTGATTATTCTTGTAGAAGTAGCCCAATTCGGTACCATGGCATATGAAAAACAAAATTTGCAAGCTCTGGAAGAGGTCAAAACTGAATCATCAGATTACTCATGAGTGGATGATGATGACCATACGGCTAAAATAAATGCTTTCATAACAGAAGAGAGGTTTGGGTGTAGGGTGACGGTGATGATGATGATAATGATGATGACAACTTTCATGTTGGCCATGTGAGTCAAAGTTCCTGTGACAGTGAAATGGCTCAAGAATCCACTGACAGAGACACAGGGAATGCAGGTCTCCTTGACTTAGATGACAAAGGAAACAGCAATGTGAGGACATATTTGAGTAGTCGAAATGTTGCAAAAGGGCCACAAAACCAAATGGAATGACCCAATGTTAGAACTAGGTCCGAAAAGATAGCAAGGGTCTCAGCAGGGGTGGAACAGGATTGGACAGAATGCTAGCACTGCCATTCAGTCTTAGAAACTGTAACAGATAAAAGGCCACAAAATGCAGAAATATGCAGAGCTGAACTGCAAGAAAAATGTTCTGTGTGCTCCAACAACCATATTAAACAATGATGATTATGACACCTCACTAAACTGACACATTCATAGGTCTGCTGTACTTAGCACAGATTTCTCATGGTGACTGCAGGAACGTAAAAGACTTATGGAAAAGCGATGGGTCAAAATATGGAATAAAACTTATGCCCTGGTAGATGCCAAGACTTGTTGTGCTTTTAATTTAGACATTTATCCTGGAGCTCACCATCAGGCCCTTATTTGTACAGTACTAAGCTGAATGATGTTATGAACAGACTTGTATCCCTCCCCGAAACTAATCAGAATGTGACATTCTACAATGGATTTACCAGTTTCCAACTGATGTCACATTTGCTAACAGCACAAGACAACAATGCAGGAACCATATGCAGGAACAAAGCAGAAATTCCAAATGAAATGCTGCGACTTCAAAACAGAGAGCTGTACGGTACAATCTTTGGATTTTAGGAAGACAGAACATTGGCCTTGCACATGGCAAAGATGCTGATGTCAACATTTCACCATGAAGGAACTACTGATACGGAAACTTGACAGAACAGAAGCCTGAGATGAAAACTCTCAACAAGAAAACTGAACATGGCGTAGATGTGATGAGTTACACGGCAACTATGACGTCACCTGGAACACAAAGCATTGGCTGATGGTTGGGCTTTACTTGATCCTAAACATGTGAGCCATAAATAGTTTGATAGCTGACAAGGAAAATAACAAGTAAGAAACATCATGAGGAAATTTTCTTAGAGGATCCGGACTGGAGCTCCTAGGAGATCATTTATAGCAGAGGCAAACAAAATGTTTCTGCCCGGGGAACTATGCAAAATAACGGTGGGGCACACTGGTGAGCTGACAGGAGAACAGGCAGGTGCAGCATCACAAAGACCTACGGTGACAACAGGAATACACAGAAGATGTCAACCGTGCCCTACAAGAAAGGACGGGAAAACAAAACTCCTGTGCTGTCAGTGTGAGCCACACCTGTGTATGGAACACGCAGCGGTCATATGTGAAGTCTGCCCTGGGTGTGACAGTTGCAGCAAAGCCTACTTTTGTTTGTGTTTACACTGAAGTTCACAGGGGTTTTTATTTCTGATGTTAACTTTTAGGTTTTGTAAGCAATGAAACAGTTTACGTCAGGCTGGGGATTTAGCTCAGCGGCATAAGCGCCTGCCTGGCAAGTGCAAAGTCATGAGTTTGATTCCTGGTACCAACAAACAAACAAACAAACGAAACAGCTGATGTGAAAATGTTAATGTCTGTTTTAAATGCATAATACGTATTAAGAATTTAAAATTCTATTTTATTGTTATTTTATGTTCCTGTTGACTACATACTGTAGAAGATAATAAGAACCAGCTGACAAAACAGCAAGACCACTGAGATGTCAAGTGTGTCCTACAGCAAGGCCAGGAAGGCAAAAGCCGTGTGCTGTCAGTGTGCATCAGTGTGCATCAGTGTTAGTGATGTGGGTGTGGGATGTGCTGCTGTCATGCATGCAGACTGCCTTGGGTGGGATAATTAAAATAAAGGCTATTCTTTGTAGGGTTCTATTAGTATTTCCATTGTGGTTCATATGGGAATTTATTTCTGATGTTCTTTTTTAGACTTTGTACAGCAAAATCCAGATGATGCTGAAAATTTTGATTTTTTTATAAATAAGTATTAAAAACTCAATATTTTATTTTTTTGACTTTTCTAATAAGTACTCATTGTTTAATATAATAAAACATAAAATTAAAATCAATAATGCATCGATAGAAATATTCTAAAGAATAAATGCAGACTGGCAAATTAGTGTCTCGTTCCAAGGGCTGCCCTGCAGGTGTCAGGGGGTCCACTGCAGCACTGGGAAAGCTGACCAGTACGGGGACCCAGGAGCAGCTCACTTGCGGGTTCCATTCTCCCACCACCAGCCCAGGCCTTCTGTCTTGTCCTGCACTCTGTCCTGTCATTTTCCTTGGCCTTATCCCGTGTCCCCTCTGTCCCTAGAACACCCTCCTCCGCTGGCCTTGTGTTGTGATCATCCTGCCCATCTCCCAGACACCAACCATCTACAGGACTGTCAACCTCAAAAGGCCCTCCCTTCTGCTCTGCCCACTCACACATCCACTAGCACTCAAGGGAGGCCAGCCTGACCGCAGCACCCATTGTTCCCCTGCTCCTCTCTGGCCCCTTGGTGCTGCAGGGCCAGGGTGCTGGGAGGGCTGAAGAGTTCTCATTCTGACACCAATCTGCACAGTGACCCTGGGAAAATTTCATCCCCTCTCTGGTTTTCCACTCCTAAACAGCAGCAGCTACCAGGAGGATGTGCCAAGGGCTCCCCAGTCTGCAGGTCCCAGACAATCCTGAGACCTGTGCAGGGGGCTGAGCTGTGCACCTGTCAGCTGTCCTGGTTCATAAAGGGCTGGTCCTCTCCTGTCTGGAATTTCTGGAGACACAGAACAGGACTCCTTCCTCAAATCAAGCCTTGACCAAAGCTCCAAGCAGGTTTATTGTCCCACAAACTCCTTATCTGGGAGTTTCAGGCAACAAGGGTCACTGGGGGTTTTCTAAGACACAGAATACCTGGAAGCTCCACTTCCTGCTCCCTGTCCCATTCCTGGTAAGGAGCTTCCAGATCTGTCTTTGGACAGAGAGGGGCACTGAGGTCAGGGCGGGGAAACACTGCTCTGGACAGAGGCCTTGGGGCTCCACCTCTGCCTGGGACACTTAGTCAGAGTGTCCTGCATTCTGCTGTGAATAGGATCCTTATTACCTCACAAATCAGCCTTCACCCTGCAGCTCAGAGTCACACTCACTGACATCACTGGCACCCTCTCAGAGCCTAGTGACGCACTGGGTATGTTGGGGCAGAGACAGGGACCATGGGACAGGATCAGATGGATGCACCCTACTGGAGGGCACAGACAGCAGGGAGCCAGCAAATGCAGTGCAGCCTGAACAGGGTTACACTGCAATCTGCTGCAGCGGGGGACAAACAACCCGGGAGCAATCTGGGGGCCAGGGAAGGTCTTCGGGAGTGCACACGTGAATGTTTAAAAGCTCAGCAGAGCAAGGCAAGCAGAATGGGGAAGGGAAGACACGTCAGGCAGAAGGCACTGTGTCAAGGCACCCTCATGGGTGGAGCCAGGAGCTTGCAGTGTGTGGGGTGAGGTGGGAAGAAGCTGCGTATCTGGACAAGTGCAGAGCCACGAGGGCTTTAGCTCGACAGGGCACTGAACAAGGGCTCTGAGTGCCAGCCTGGGGGTTGACAAGTCATCAGGTTTGTAGCTGGGATGCAAGAGGGTTAGGGCTAAAGTGGGTTTTATCTCTGCCCTTAGGAAGCTAGAACTCTCAGCCTGGGAAAAATTTTTCTTTTCTCAACTCTGGGCTACTATCTAAGGAAGAACCACTGGGTTTTGATTCATGCCTGGCTCCCATGGGCTGCATCCTCCTGTAGAGGTGTTGTGGAGCCCTGGTGCAGGAGGAGGATACTGAGGGCTTGTTTGGATTCAGGAGGAAAATAATGTAAATACCCTGTGTCTGATATCTCCAAACAGGACTCAGGGCCTGCTAGTGCCTGCTGGACAGCCCAACACCCCATCTCTTCACTCAGCACCACACACAGGAGGGTGATGGGAAATTCTTTCCTGCTCCTCTCTCATCTGCTTATTGCCATGGAGATAAATGCTGCGGCTCAGCCTTAATCAATTCCCCAGGTGGGGGCTGAAACAGCTGGCAGGAGAGGGTAGGAAGGCCCTAAGTGCTCTGGACCAAAAGGCCGGAGAGGGCAGGATGCAAACTGTATCTCCTCCTTTCATTTCAAGTGCCAGCAGCCAGAAGTTATGAGCTGCAAAGTGGAGGGAAAGAGATCAGGGCCTCTGTAGGAAAAAGCAATTCTGCCCAAGACTGGAAGTCAGGACAGGTGACAGAACCTCATATGCATATGTTTGCTGATGCTTTAAATCGGGTCTGAAAGCATCAGCACCTTCTGGAGGGCTGATTCCTACCCACACTGCCAGGCTCACATTTTCTGTTGCAGGAGATCTGCACTCCTGACAAGTGGCCAAGAAACAACCTCTGGGGGCTGGGGATTTAGCTCAGCGGCATAAGCGCCTGCCTTTCAAGCAGGCAGTCCTGAGTTCGATCCCTGGTACCAATAAAAAAAGAAAAAGACAAAAAAAAAAAAAAAAAAAAAAAAAAGAAACAACCTCTGCTCTACAGTCCTGCTTATGATCTGTGAAGCCCTTCCCACTCACCATTTAATTTACTCCTCAAGGCCATCTTGGGAGCCTAGCATGTGGCGGTGCATGCCTAGAATCTCAGCACTTGGGAGGCTGAGGCAGGAGGATAGCTATGAGTTTAAGGCCAGCCTGGGCTACATAGTGAGTTCAAGGCCAGCCTGGGCTACACAGCAAATTCAAGGTCAGCCCAAGCTACATAGCAAACCACACAGCGAACTGCACAATGAGACCCTAACAAAACTGAAAACAAAACCACCAGAGTGGGGGGTGAGGAAAACTATCCCATTTCATGGAAGTAGACCGTGGAGGAGTCACTTCTGAGGTTACACAACCAGCAAGCAGCTGGAACCCACCATCCAGACTCCAAAAGCTCCAGGAACACACAGCTACTTCCCAAATCCCGAACTCAGGGCTGCTGGTCCTTGGTGTTCTTTCTCTCAGATATACTTTCCAATGTGGCGACTGCTCTCTGGCCACGCGCAGGACCCGGCTGTCCTTCTCCTCTTAGTGTTCCACAGTCCTTCCAGCTGCCTGGAGCTAAGTGTGAAATGGAACTCATTTATCATGGCTTCTACCCACGATGGTTCCCTAGGTGAACGGCGGCAGCACAGTGCTGGTGGCTAAGGTGTGGGCTTTGAAGTCAGAGACCCAGAAGCCAGGCTGACTTCCTTTCAATGTGAGGACAGAGCTCCTCCAGGAGAACCAACAGCTCAGACAACAGCTCAGACAGCAACTCCGGTAGGAGAACCCACAATGCCTCCACACAACGACGCATTAACGCCTCAACTCTCAACACCTCCTCAGCACCTACCTCTCCCTGGGCTGCTATGAGACACAGCAAGTGTTTAGTCCTGGCCTACAGTAGTTTCTCAACAAATGGTAGTAAATTCTGGACCCAACTTGGGTTTCTTTATGAATCCCTGTGCCTCAGCTGCCTCATAGTGAATGGGCTCAACAAGGAGCCCACCATAAAGGTTCTTCGGTGAGGATGCAATGTGTTTACTCATTGCAAGTGTATCCAAGCTGTGTCTGGCCTGGGGAGGGCTATGCCTTAGTCTGCTCCTAGGGTCCTTTTTTTAAGCCATTGCTTTAGCACCAGGCACAAATTCTTCGTGAACACCTGTAAGCAACAACATGAAACAGCAGCCTTCTGTGAATTGAAAATTTAAAAATCCTGATGGTGAGGAGCCCAAGACAATGGGCTTGCGCTTCAGGCCATGGAACCACACACTTCAGTTAAAATGGGAGGTTTTGTCCAGTGTATTTTACCACAATAAAACAAACACCGAAGGACAAAGTGTTATGGATTAAGAACTGGTGGTCAACTTAATGCCAGCTGGGTTACATCAGCATGGCATTGAGTGAAGATGCTCCACCTGAGGAAAGTTGCCAGGATAAATAGGTGGAGAAGAAGGGAGGTGTTGAGGGTTGAGGCCTTAATGCGTTGTTGTGTGGAGGCATTGTTGGTTCTCCTATGAGTTGCTGTCTGAGCTGTTGGTTCTCCTGGAGGAGCTTTGGTCCTCACATCGAGCATTGCTTCCTGGCTTCGGAGGGGAAGATATGTGCTGCTTGGTCTCCAGGATGAACTCATCACACTGCTTCCTGGCATGTACCCAACTGTGCTTGTCGGAGGAGCTTGGGGCCTCCGTGTCGCTGAGGATGGCTGTGGTGCCTTTCAGGACAGCTTTGGTCTTTGTTGTGAGTATGACTTCTTGACTCCAGCATACAACCCTCATCCCACTAGCACAGCTCCTTCACCCTTCTGGCATAGACTTTCTGGCTTCCACCGCTGACCCTTGGGTCTTCCCGGCACAGATCCGTAAAAGAGACTGGCGTGAGTCTTCCTTGTGGGCTCTGGACCTCCAGTTGGACTCATGGGAGGCATTGTCCTGAGCTCTGGGTTTTTATCTGGACTCATGTGGGACATTGCTGTGGGATTTAGGCTCTTGACTAAATAATGTATGTCTTTGGTGTTGTGGATAGATTTCCTGCATTTTCCTGTGTTAACTCCCATGACCATTATAAAAAATAATATTATAGGGCTGGGGATTTAGCTCAGTGGCATAAGTGCCTGCCTTGCAAGCGCGTGGTTGTGAGTTTGATCCCCGGTACCGATTTAAAAAAAAAAAAGAAAGAAAACCTACCTCTAAAAAATATTATAAACTTCATGTCCTAATCCTAATTGTTCTCTGTGTACAACCCCTGACTATAACAACAAACGCAGCAGCACTAGGTACCAGCCCAGCTTCCCTGCGGCTTTGGAGTGCTTGGCTTTTCTCCTGCTACCTGCTTTCCCGAGCAGCTCCCATCTCTTGGCCCTTCCGGGCCCTGGCCTGCAG